GCAGATTGGGAAAGGGTAATCAGAAGCAAATACTTCTGAGGAGGGACAGGGTCAAAAGAAAGAATAGAATAAATGGGAGGGCAGGATAGGATTAAGGGAAATAGAGTTAGTTTTTCACAACATGTCTACTAAGAAAGTGTTTTGCATAACTGCACATGTACAACCTATATTGAGTTGCTTGCCTTTTCAATGAGGGAGGAAGGGAGAAAATTTGGAACTCAAAGTTTTAAAAACATGTTTAAAAAAAATGTTTTCACATGCAACTGGGAAATAAAAGAAATACAGGAAAAAAAAAGATGAAGTCAGAAAGAGAGTCTGAACCAGAAAAAGAAATCCATCTCATAGAATTATTCAATTTTGAAAGCACTGAAGGATTTATTATAAAAATATTTTTTAAAAAGGAGGAAATTTGAAACAATTGGAAAAAATCGTGGATAGTACTATTACTAAAGGTAGTAAATACATGAATAACTTTAAATACTACTGACCAATATGTCCTCCTTTTAATTTCTGCAAAATTTTCATGAGAATGATCTATACACATATCAAAAATACCCTTGATGAAAATATGAAAAGGGAATGGGTAGGCAGTAGACCCCAACTTTACAGACCAACAATTGCCTGAAAGACATAGAGAATAGAAGATCCCAATGTATTTGTTGCTTGTTGATATAAAGTGTGCATTATTAAAATAGCATACAAGATTTATTTATAGATTCAATCAAAGAAATTACTTTGTTCAGTGATACTCTCATTTGTAGTATTAAAAATAACATATTACTCCACTTTTAAAAAATCACCATTTAGATCTAAGACATCTCCAGAGGCCTCAGGATGGAAAATGCTGTCCACATCCAAAGAAAGAAATATGGAAGTTGAATCGCTATCACTTATATTTACCTTCTGTTGAGTTTTGTTTCATCTTTCTGATGGTTCCTCCTATTGGTTTTAATTTTTATTTACAACTTCACTAATGTGAAAATATGTTTAATAGGAATGTAAAGCCTGTATCAGACTGTGGCGCCCTCTTGGGGAGGGTTGGGGGGGAGGAAGGGGGAGAAAAACTTTCAACTCAAAAGCATATGGAAGTGATTGTTGATAAATGAAAATAAATTAAGATATAGCCTTCAAGATTATGTTTTATTCACTAAATCAGATCTTTAAAATAATCAGCCAACAGCAGGCATAATGGGATTTTCTGTACCTTTTAGTCATTTGTATTTTTGTAGTGTGTTGTGGAAAATCATTACCAAAACCCTACTATAGGTAAAGATTCTTTGATATATCTCACTTTGGTAAAGGACACCTTTAATACACATTGATTATTCTCATAAAAATTTTATAGAGGTGGATGGGCTAGAGTGGTAGAGCCAACAAAAGATCAAAGAGAGACATTCTTCTAGCCCAAGACAACTTAAGAGGTTGGAAGGAGAGATCTATGACACAGAGGTTGAGGCTGACCCGAAGGCCACATGGCTGAATCGCCAATGGTAGGACTAGTTAGTAGTGGCAGAAGTAGCAGCAGGTTTGGGAGCTCTCAAGCCAGAGACAGTAAGAGGGACCTGGCAACTGGTCAGAAAGAGATTAGAGGGGTCCCTTGTAACCAGACACAGTTTGGGAATTCCATTACTTATACCCACTTCTGGGTTGTAGTTCAAGGACTGAGAGAGAAGCACTTTAAGGCAAGAGGGAGTAGGAACCTTGAGGGGCAGCTGTTTACCTGTTACCCACTTTGGGGTCATAATTGAAGGGTGGACAGGAGTACTTTTAATCAAAAAAGAGTGGAAACCCTGGGGGACAGTATTATTTTTTTGTCACAAGGGTTCAAGGACCCTGAGGAACAGTATCAGTTATAATCCCAAGGATCAGGGGCCCTTCCTAGACAAGGACAAGAGTGCAGAATAGGAGAGCAGTGACCACACATCTCCCCAGATCACATCACTTTGGAAACACTGAAAATTTCCAAACCCTCATGACTAGTTCTCAAAATAGTGCAAAAAATCCTGAAGCTTGAGATAGTTCCCCTCCTTCTCACCCCATCTCAGCCTCTCCCTCCATCCCCCCCCAAGCCAGAAACAGAGTCCAGCTTTAACAGAAAGTTCAACATCAACAAATAAGGTTGAAAAAAAGAAAACAACAACAAAGGAACCTGACCATAAAAGGCCACTGTGGTGACAGGGAAGAGCAAGACAGAAACTCAGAAGAAGACAATGCAGTCAAAACAACTACAAGCAAATCCTCAGAGGAAAAAAGTATAAATTGGACACAAGGCCAACAAGAAATTCTGGAGGAGCTAAAAGTTGATTTTCAAAATCAAACAAGAATAGTAGAGGAAAAATTAGGTGAAGACATGAAAGCAAAGGAAGAAAATAATGAAAAGACAATCAACAACTAGGTAACAGAGGCACCAAAAAAAATACTAAAGAGAGTAACACCTTAAAAAATTGAATAGGCCAAAGGGGAGAAAAGGCACAAAAATTCGCTGTTGAAAATAACTCTTTAAAAAGCAGAATTGGACAAGTGGAAGTTAATGACCCCCTGAGACATCAAGAAACAAAGTTAAAAGGATGAAAAAAATAGAAGAAAGTGTGAACTATCTCATCTGAAAAACAACTGGCCTGGAAGATAGAATGAAGAGAGATAATTTAAGAATTATTGTAGTACCTGAAAGCCATGATCAAAGAAACAGCCTGATTATCATATTTCAAGAATTTATCACTGAAAACTGTCCTGATATCCTAGAACAAGAAGGGAAAATAGAAATTAAAAGAATCCACAGGAGATCTCAAAATGAAAACCCTGAGGAATATTCTAGCCAAATTCCAGAGTTCCCAGGTCAAAGAGAAAATATTTCAAGCAGCCAGAAAGAAACTATTCAAATACCATGGAGCCACAGAAGATTTAACAGCTACCATGTTAAAGGAGCAGAAGGCATAGTATATGATATTTCTGAAGGCAAAAGAGCTGGGCTTATAACCAAGAATGACCGACCCAGAAAAACAGAGTATAATACTTCAAGGGAAAAAAATATGGGTAACTTTCAGACATTCCTTTTAAAGAGACCAATGCTAAATAGGAAATTTGACTCTCAAATACAAGACTCAAGAGAGGAATAAAAAGGTGAACGTGGAAGAGTAATCATAAGAGAAGCAGTAAGGTTAAACTGTTTACTTTTCTATATAGGAAGATAATAAATGTAACTTCTAAGATCTTTTATCATTGGAGCAGTTAAAGGATTCAAAATAGGAAAAGGGCATAGGAGCAATTTTATTTTATTTGTATGATATAAAAAAATGGCTAGGCAAGAAAGAGGAATGCACTGGGAAAAGGGGAAGGGAGAAAAGAATGTGGAAAATTATCTTACATAAAGAAAGCACACAAGAGCTTTTACAGTGGAAGGGAAAATGGGACAGCAATGCTTGAAACTTACTCTGATCTAAATTGGTTCAAAGAGGAAAAAAATATGTGTATTTATGTGTGTATATGTGTATATGTATATGTATAGACAACATTTACACACATCTAGATCTATATTTTATACACATACACATATATACATAAATACACACAATATACACACATGCACAAACACGTACTGAGTAGGTGACAGAAATCTATCTTAAACCAATAGGAAAATAGGAGAGAAAGGAGATAAGGAAACAGAGAGTGAGTGAGAAAAGAAAGCAGTGGTCAGAAGTAAAAGAGAATTCAGAGAAGGGATAGAATAAAAAGAGAGAGAAAAGGATAAATGGAAGGAAATAGGATGGAGGGAAATGCACAGTTTGTAATTATAAATGGGAATAGGATGAATTCACCCATAAAGTGAAAGCAGGTAGCAGAATGGATTAGAAACTAGAATGTAACAATATGTTGTTTACTAAAACTGCATTTGAAACAGAGACACAGAGTGAAAATAAGAGGCTGGAGCAGAATCTATTAAGCTTCAGCTGAAATAAGAAGAAGGAAGGAGTAGCAATCATGATCTCAGACAAAGCAAAAGCAAAAATAGACCTAATTTTTTTTTAGTTATTTCCCACAGTTACATTTGAAAACAATTTTTTAACATTCATTTTTTAAAAAGTTTTGAGTTCCAGATTTTATCCCTCCCCTCTTCCTTCTCTGACACAGTAAGTAATCTGATAAAAGTTATACATGTACAGTCATGTAAAACTTTCCCATATTAGTCCTTTTGTGGAAGGAAAGAAGGAAGGAAAAAGGAATAATAGTATGCTTCAGTCTGTCCTCAGACAACATAATTTCTTTTTATGGAGATGGATTCCATTTTTCATCAAGAGTCCATTGGGATTGTTTAGATCATTATATTGCTGAGAATGGTTAATTCACTCACAATTCTTTATCATACAATTTTGCTGTTACTTTGTACATTGTTTTCCTGGCTCTGCTCACTTCACAAAAATAGATCTAATTAAAAGGAATAATCAAGGAAACCACATTTTGTTAAAAGGCACCACAGACAAAGAAGTTATATTAGTACTAAACATATATGCACCAAATGCCTAGCATCTGAATTCTTAAAAGTCAAATGAATTAGGAGAGGAAATAGATGGTAGAACTGTACTTTTTTTTTAATGGTTTCTAGTAAAACTTTACTAGAGGAGCCTCAACTTTCTTTCCTCTGTCAGAGCTAGATAGATCTAACCATTAAATAAATGAGAAAGAAGTGAAGGAGGTAAATAAAATCTTAGAAAAGTTAGATATGATAGACCTCTGGAGAAAACTGAATGGGAATAGAAAGGAGTGTAACTTTTTTCTTAGCTGCACATGGTACCTTCATGAAAATTGTCCATGTATTGAGGCATAAATACCTCATAACCAAATACAGAAAAGCAGAAATATTAAATGTACCATTTTCAGATCAAAATACAATAAAATTATATTCAATTAAGGACCATGGAAGCATAGATTAAAAATTAATTGGAAACTAAATAATCCTGAAGAATGAATGAGTCAAAAAACAAATCATAGAAACAGTCAATAATTTCATTAAAGAAAATGACAACAATAAGATAACATACCAAAACTTGTGGGGGCGAAGCCAAAGCAGTAGTTAGAGGAAAATTTATATCTCTAAACCTGTAAAAGAGAGAAAGAGTAGATAAGTGAATTGGACTTTCAACTAAAAAAAAAAAACCCTAGAAAAAGAACAAATTAAAATCCCTCAATTAAACACAAAACAAACCCTGAAAATTAAAGGAAAGATTAATAAATTAAAAGTTAAAAATAAAAACCTTTGAACTAATAAATAAAACTAGGAGCTGGCTTTATGGAAAACAGTTCCAATAAAATAGATAAACCCATTGGTTAATTTGATTTAAAAAAAGAAGAAAAACAAATTAATAGTATCAAAAATAAAAAAAGGTGAATGCAGCACCAGTGAAGATAAAATTAAATTATTAGGAATTATTTTGTCTAATTATATGCCAGCAAAACTGACAATCTAAGTGAAATGGATAAGAATATTTACAGAAATATAAATTATCCAGATTAACTGAAGAGGAAATAAAATACTTAAATTACTTTATCTTAGAGAAGGAAATTGTACAGTGGATTTACATGCTAATTCTAGAAAACTTTTAAGGAACAATTAATCCCAATACTATAGAAACTATTTGAACAAATAGATAAAGGAGTCCTACCAGATTGTGTTTATGATACAAATATGTTTTTGATACCTAAGCTAGGGAGAACAAAAACAGGAAGAAAACTGTAGACCAATTTATTTAATGTATATCAATTTAAAATTTTTAAATAAAACACTTAACAAGGAGATTACAGCAATATATCAACAAAGCTCATACTGTGACCAGGTGAGATTTATACCAGGAATTCAGGACTGGTTCAATATTAGGAAAACCAGCAGCACAATTGACTATGTTAGTAACAAAACCAGCAGAAATGATTATATCAGTAAATGCAGAAAAAGCCTTTGACAAAATATAATACCCATTTCCTTTAAAAAACACTAGAAAACAGGAATAAATTGAGCCTTTTTAAAAACAAATGGTAAGTAGTAAGCTTTCCCAGTAAGGTCAAGGGTGAAGCAAGGATATCCACCATCACCACCACTATTATTCAGTGTTGTACTAGGAATTCTAACTATAGCAGTTAGACAAGAAAAAGAAATTGAAGGAATAAAATTAGGCAGTGAGGAAACAAAAGTATCACTGTTTGCATATGTTATGAAGGAGTATTTATAGAAACCTAAGGAATCAACTAAAAAACTAGTTAAAACAGTCAACAACTTCAGCATAGTGGCAAGATTTAAAGTAAACCAACATAAATGTCCATCATGTCTATATACTATCAACAAAACCCAGAAAGAAGAGTAGAGAAATTTCATTTAAAACAATTGAGGTAATATGAAATACTTGAGAGTCTATCTACCAAGACGAAACCCAGGGATTTTATGAACACAGTCATGAAACACTTTTCACACAAATAAAAACAAATTTAAACAGTTGGAGAAATATTACTTACAGGTAGTCTGAGCCAGTATAATGAAAATGACAGTTCTACCTAAATTAATTTACTTATTCTGTGCCATGCCAACCAAACTACCAAAGAATTATTTTATAGAGCTAGAAAAAAATAACAAAATTCATTTGAAAGAACAAAAGGTCAACAATATCAAAGGATTCAATGAAAAAAAGTGTGAAGGAAGGTAGCTTAGATGTTCTAGGTTTCAAACTATATTATAACAAAATGTTACTCATTAAGATAATCTGGTACTGGTGAAGAAATAGAGTGTTAGATCATTGATTAAGTACACATTACACAGTAGTAAATGAGCATAGTAATCTCTTATTTGATAAACCCAAAGATCCAAGATTTGAGGATAGTACCATCAGCATTTGACAAAAACTACTGGGAAAACTGGAAAGCAATTTGGCAGAAATTGTGCATGGACTAACATCTCATATCATATGCCAAGATAAGGTCAAAGTGAGTAAATGATTTAGACATAAAGGATGATATCATAATTAGTGGAACATGGAAAAAAATGTACCTGTCAGATCCATGGTTAAGGGAAATGTTTTTGGCCAAAGAAAAGACAGAGAGGATCATAGGAAATAAAATAGATAACTTTAATTATGTGAAATTAAAAAGCTTTTGCACAAAAAAACCTAATGGAGCCAAAATTAGAAGGAAAACAGAAAACTGGGCAAAAAAATTTTATTCAGCAAGTTTCTCTGATAAAGATTTTGTTTCTCAAATATATAGGAAACTGAGGCAAATTTGTAAAAAAATTTACCAGTTGGTAAATGGTCAAAGAATATGAACAGGTAGTTTTCAGAAGAAATCAAAGCCATGAATAGTTGTGGAAAAAAATGCTCTAAATCACTACTGATTAGTGAAATGCAAATTAAAAGTACACTGAGATATCACCTTACATCTATCAGATTTGCTAATGTGACAGCAAAGGAAAATGACAAATGCTGGAGAAAATATGGAAAAATTGGGAAGGTAATACGCTGTTGGTAAAGTGATCTATTTAGAGAACAATTTGGAACTGTACGGGCTATACAACTGTGTATACTCTTTAACCTAAAGATACCATTACTGGGTCTGTAACACAGAGAGATCAAAGAAAAGGGAAAAGGACCTATTTGTACAAAAAATATTTATAGCAGCTCCTTTTAGAGTGTAAAGAATTGGAAATTGAGGGGATGCCAAGTCAGTTGGGGAATGGCTGAACAAATTGTGATATATGGTTGTGATGGAATACTATTGTGTTATAAGAAATAATAAGCAAGATGGCATCAGAAAAACCTAGGAAGACATATATGAGCTCATGTGAAGTGAAGTGAGCAGAATCAAGAGAACATTTTATACAATTGCAGTAATATTGTAAGGATGATCAGTGGTAAAAGAGTTACTCTGATCAAGACAGTGATCCAAGACAATTCCAAAGGACTCATGATGAAAAAAAAAATGCTTTCCACCTCCAGAGGGAGAACTGATGAACTCTGAATACAGATTGAAGCATATTTTCTTTTACTTCTTTGTTTTTCTTGTTCTATTTTCTACTTTCTTTTGCAACATGGCTGTTATGGAAGTATGTTTTGCATGACTTCACATATGTAATTGATATCAAATTGCTTGCATTCTCAAGGAAGGGGTCAGGGTGAGAGGGCATTTTAAACTCAAAATTTTTAAAAATTGTTAAATATTTTTAAAATTTAATTGGGAAATATTTAATAAAATAAAGATTTGTTAAAAAAGATTTTATAGAGAAAGAAGACATATGGGCTAGCATTGGCTGATGTCTTGGCTTCCTTATTTTCTTAATAACACCATCTATTATATTTTCTGTTCTTTTAGAATCTTTCCCTTTTTGAAATGATGAAATTTAATATCTAATTACCTTCAAAATGATAAGCACAAATTTCTTCTCTGTGTAGTTGATCTGACCCTACTACTCCTTATGACTTCATCTTAAGTGTCATTTCAGCTTACTGATAGAATCACTTACTAACATCCAAATGTCATGATGCCGCTGTTATTGATGAGGATGATAGATTGCTATACAAATGCTGGCATGTCTATATAATTTTGCATATTATTTGTTGTCCTCTTTCCAGTTTCGTCTAAAAAATATTGTGGATATCATCTGACTTAGTTGAGTTTTACAAGAAGCTTTTCTGTAGGCTGTTTTCCCTTTTGCTGTTCTTTGCTATTTTGTGAGGAGATATTACTAGTTGGAAGTAAAAGCTTGAGGCTTGATATGTAGATCTGGTATTACGGTGGGAACTGAAGCCAGGGGAATAGATAGAATCCCCAAAAGAGAGGAAGTAGAGAGGTAGCAAAGAGGATGTAAGCACAGTCTTGGTGCCTACACTTAGGTTGCAGGAAGGAAACACTGAGCCAATAAAAGGGCAGTTAGTCCAGTAGGAGAACTAGCAACAGAACAGTGTCGTTGAAGCCACGTAAGAGTCAAATGTTTGTGAGGTCAACAGTGTCCAGTGCTTTGCAAAGGTTAGGGAAAACGGGAACAAAGAAAAAACAATTAGATCTGACATTTCAGAGGTAATTAGTAACTTTGGGGAGAGAGTATTTTTATTCGAGTGGTAGAGTCAAGAGCCAGATTGCAAAGTGTTGAAGTCAGTAAATGAATAGTAAAGTGAAGCTAATGTGTATGGATCTTTTTTGTAGGAGTCAGATTTGAACAGAGGGGGAAGTTTGATATTTAAATTTTAGTGTTCATTGTTCTGAGTATACAGTTTATTACACTGCTCTCAGTTTTTACCATTAGAAAGCATTACCTTGATGAATAGGGAAATGGCTAGGGAAGTCATTAAAGTCTCTACCTCATGGATAGAAGTGGATAGGTCCAGTGATACAGTAGATAGAGAAATGGCTTTTAAACCAGAGGATTCAGGTTCATATCCTGGCTCAGCTTTTTTGAAAATCCTGCCTTATTTAAAAATTGCCCTTTTTTTGGACAGGAAGTGATGAGAAGATGCTGGAAGAAATGACACCAGATGCTAAGAAGTTGATGGCCGTTGCTGACTCTGTGTTTATTAAAATTACTTCTGATCTCCTCAATGGAAAGCTTTTAGTTAGACATATGGACCTAATTGAAAAGTATGAGAAACAAATTCTTCACTTATGGAAATTAAGTAAGTATGAATTTAAGATGTGGGTTTAGGCTTGATAAAAGGTCACAAAGCATCTTAATAATAATGGTGTTCTCTGGGTATTAATAATGCAATTTGGCAAATATTTATTAAATGCCTACTATGTGCAAAGCACTGGAAATACAAAGAAAATTAGTTCCTGCTCTCAAGGAGCTTTATTTTTGCTGAGGAATACAACATATATACAAGTAAGTAAATACAAAGTAATAAAATTAATTTCCAGAAGTAGGGAGTGTTAATAAGTGAAGGGAATCAGGAAGGAGCCCATGGAGGTGGTGACATCTGAGCTGTATTTTGAGGAAAGCTAGAAATTCTACAAGGTGGAGGAGATGAAGGAGTGTATTCTAGACCTGGGTGACTATATCTGCAGAGGCATAGAGTGGGAAATGAGATACATGGGGTACAGTAAGCAGGCTACTTGGACTTCCATGGAGAGGCATGAGGAGAGCTAATATGAACTAAGGACTGGAATGTATTCTGTGCTCTCAGCTATTCCTGGTTTAGAGGGTGATGCTTATGATGTTTAGTAGACTCAGGTCAGCAGTGGCTCGTTGCTGGCTACATGTGCTTGGATTGAAGTAACATAATGACCCTTGAGAAGCTGTTGTTTCTTGCATGTCACTGATAGTGTATGCAAAAGAGGGGCAGAAATTAAGCCATAATTGAGAAGAATTAAAGGATGTATGTGTCTGTTATTATTGGATATTTTATTTTCTAGGGAACAATAATCTTTCACCCCAGGAGAAAGAATTTGATTTAAAAGAAGTGGTAACATGGAGAATCTGTGAATTACGATATTTAAAAAGACAGCGAAAATTTGTGGAGAGTTTCCTGAAGTTGTGTCGAAAGGTGAAAGAATTGATAACAGGTGATATCCTTGATGAATTTATATTTAAAAAAAAATAGTCTAGAGGGCTAGAGGATTAAGGGTAGATATAATTACAGAGTTTGGTTTCCATAGAAGTAATTTATCTCAAAAGTTGAGGAATAAATCAAGTTTTGGAAAAGAAGGTTGTTTCTAGTCTATTCAGGGAAAAAATTCCTAGAAGAGCTTTACTCATTTTAAAATATTATTGAATTGATAGTAGGTTGACAGATAGGACAAATATAACTAAGTATTATCTCATAATGGTGGTGAGGTTTGACTTCTGAACTTTAATTTTTGTTGTTGTTCTAAAGTGGACTTTGGAGATATTGAAAGGAAACATTTGGAAGATGTTAGTGGGAAGAGGATGGATGAGGCAATTACAGTGAGGCTTTTCCATTCCCCTGCTGTGTATGAGTACAAGACCTATTACAATCTGAGCCCCTGGTTACTGGAGATGGCTGAAAAGGTGAACTCTTTAAAAGATAGCTACATCTTCCAAGTCTGCTGGGAGAAAGAAGCCCAGTCACTTGGGGACAATGATGACAACTCTGAGAAGCTGATTCTGAACCTTGAGAATGTATATGAGTTATTATATTCTCCTTCTCACAGAAGATTTGATAGACTTTATAAAGATCTGAAGTCAGGAAAGCTCACATTTGCTGAAGTCCATTCTGTTTTCAAAAACTTTGTGAACAAGTATGATGATCTTACTAAAGACCTCAAGATCATGTGCAGGCTGGATCCTGATGACAAGCAGGGCTGGATCAGTAAGCGAGTTGGGCAGATCAAGGAATATCACCACCTGCATTTGGCTGTTGATTCAGCCAAGGTCATCTGCAAGGTGAAAGAGGATTTGGGTTTGACTGGTGACTTCAGTGTGCTTCAGATATTATTAAGCTTTGTAAGTATGCATGGAATTAGTCCAAAAACTGTTGCAACGTATAGGCTTATGGCTCTTTAAAGCCTCCCATTTTCACAAGCTGATCTTTTTGTCAAGAGGCTTTCCTTAAGAGTATTGGGATTTCCTTTCTCTCTGATACCACGTTTTCTGCTCAAAATACCCAACGGGTTTTAGATTTTTAACTCTGAATAACATTTAAGAATTTAAGTAACTGATCCTTGGTTGGTAAAATGTAGTTTATTGGGAAGAGGGAATATTGGCATTGACACCTTAGGAAAAGAAAAGGTAATTTTTTTTCTGTTAGGATTTTCCTAGATGATGACCTTAACACTTTTCTTAGAAAGTTTTCACTTTTGCTTCATCAAGGAGGGGAACTTGATTCCTGAAGATCATGCCACTAGAGTGTGAACTTGGTGGGGCCTGTCAAGCAGAAAAGCCTCAGAATGGAGTTCTGCTGACACTCCATTGTTTGAGGACCAGCCGAGCTAAGTTCAGAGAAGTACCTTGTGAGGAAGCGAGTCTCCAGGTGAAAATTTTGGCAGCTAGTGGCATAGTAGATAGAATGCCAGGCCTGGAGTCAGGAAGACCTGAGTTCAAATCTGGCCTCAGGCACTTATAGTCTGTGTGACCCTCAAGTAACCTCATTTTGCATCTTCTATGAAATGACTATTATAATAATAGTACCTACTTCCTCCAAGAGTTATTATTAGGATCAAGTGATGTAGCATTTTTAAAAGCACCTCGCAAACCTTAGAACAGTATAGGAAGGCTAGTGATGATGATCATGATGATGTACCACGTTCTTCATTGTGAGGGCTTTAGAATTTCTATAAGGGAAAGGAATACTCATAAGATTGAAACATGGATCTTTGAGTAAGTCTATATGTTATTTAGGAAGATTGTTGTTGTTCATTCATATCTTCGTGAGTCCATATGGGGTTTTCTCGGCAAAGATACTGGGGTGGTTTGCTATTTTCTTCTTCAGCTCATTTTACAGATGAGGAAAGTGAGGCAGACAGGGTGAAGTGACTTGCCCAGGGTCACACAGTAAGTGTCTGAGGCTGGATTTGAACTCTGGAAGATGAGTCTTTGTGACTTTAGGTCCAGCACACTCTTCACTGTGCCACCTAGCTGCCCCCATTTAGGGAGATAAGAACAGCTTAATTTCTCTCCAATGTAGTAAAACAATTTACAGATGTAATATTTATCTTCCTTGCATTACACTAGCTCCTAGGCTGTGCTCTGGCTCTATCCAAGAGAGCATTTGATATGATAAATTATTTGTTTTAGATTTAAAACAGAAAAAATCCAGGAGACTTCAAAAACAACCCCATTCTCCTTCTTCAAAGATGAGGCTCTCTTTCTCTGTTTCTTTTGGCGTGGCATCTTACAAGATCCCTAAAAGTTCAGGAAGTTCAGAGAAGGAAATGCCATGTGGTAGACAAAGCTACCAGCCCCTGTCTAGTATTGTATGTGGTCCGTTCCCAACCTGCAGCAAGATTTTTGCCTTACAGACTGATGAATTTAACGCTGCCAATGAGAAATTGGATCGAATCAGCAATCAGCTCATACAGGCCAAACAATTGCTACAGGATATTGATGAGACCCGGCGTCAGTGTCTGGAAGAAATCTCACTGAGGAAAGAATTCATTGGCTGGGTCAAAGAAGCTCTTGAAGGTAACACTGAATGAATTTTTGGATACCAGTAACCCAAATCAAATTTTCCTGATCCACTAACCTTTTAGTTAATTAACTATGTGATCATATACTTCTCAAGGCTCACTTCTTTGACCATGATAGACATCATTTTACAGGCTCTTAGATTTGAAAGGCTAGCTAGTTTAAACCTGTACCTGAACAAAAGTCCTCTCGCCAACATACCTGCAAGTATTCATCTAGCCCTGGGGTGGGGAACCTGTGCCTCAAGGCCACATGTGGCCCTCTAAGTCCTAAGTGTGGCCCTTTGACTGAATCTAACTTCACAGAACAAATCCCCATAGTAAAAGGATCTGTTCTGTAAAACTTGGATTTAGTCAAAGGGCTGCACTTGAGGACCTAAAGGGCCACATGTGGCCTCGAGGCTACAGGTTCCCCATACCTGATCCAGCCTTTACTTAAAGACATCCAAGGAAATCCCTTCAGGTTCCTAAGGCAATTCATTCCACTTTTGTAGAACTCTTAACCATTACAGAGTTTTTCTTTACATCAGGTCTAGAACCATCTCTTTGCAACTTTGCACTCTTCTTCTCCTCACACCCCATTTTTTCTAGGCTAAATGTCCCCAGTTCCTTCAAGTCATCCTATATGGTATCATCTCAGGGTCCTTTACCATAGTATTTGACCTCATCTGAACACTCCGGATTATCAGTGTCCTTCCTAAATAGAGCATCCAGCAGTGAACAGAATACTCCAGCTATGGTCCACACATCCTAACCTTGTACACTATACTTCCTTCAAGGTAGCCCAAGATAAATTAGCTTTTTTGGATGCTATTTCATCTTGATTCATTGAGCGTATAGTCTGCTGAAGTGCCAGATCTTTTTCACGTGCATTTTTCTGTATACAAGTCGCTGATAAAATTGTTCAACTTTACAAGGCCAAGCACAAATCCCTGGAGTACTCCACTAGAGATCTCCTTTTGAGTTTGTTGGAGCATTCATTTATTTATTACTTTTTTGGGCCTGAGATTTAGAACTATAAGCGATTTCTATTGGTATCTAGGTCAGCGTCCTTGTTTGTTAGATGAAGAAACTAAGGCCCTCAGAGGAGAAGAAGCAAATTGACCAAGGTCAAAAGCACAGAGTAAGAGACAGAACCAGTATTCAAACTAAGTCCTCCAAAAAAGCATTCTTTTATTATACCACACTGTGAACCTTAATCCACTCAGATGGGCTATGTCATCTATTCCAAATTATCATCTTGTCCACAAGAGTAGCATAAGTGCCTCTGTGGGATGCTCGTTGCTAGGATCTGGATAAATTAGACCCCAGGCTCACTTACCATTCTAATAATCCTATCAAGCAAAGAAGTGACATTAGTATGTCAAGAACTGTGCATCATGATGACATAGTGGATCTCTGTGATCATTCCTTTTTTTTTTTTTCTAGCTGGTCAGTAACTTCCTTCAGCAATAATCTAAAATGAACTTAAGTTATTATCAAGCTTGCTAATGTACAGCTAGCATGAATATGACACTTACATTCATGATTTTCAAAAGTGGGAAGAACTGACGTTTCATTCTGTATCATCTCGCCTCTTTTAAGTGCTTGCACTTTCCTGGGATATAGTTAGTCTGGATCATCTCATCAAGGGCAGCAGAGTGCTCTCTTTATCTTATCTTTTCTCCCTTCTTATCGTGGATATCAATGCCTTTTTAGTCATTTTCTCCTGGACTTTCTAATTCATAGATCATTTTCCTTGACAGAGAAAACAAACAGGAGTTGAGTCATCCTGCCATTTTTGGTCATGTGTTATCTACCCAAACAATGGTCTGACCCTCATGAATCTTTCTCTTTTCTCCAGGGTAGCTAAAGTCAGATATTTGCTGATTATCATCTTTCTATCTGTGGTTTATGTATCTAAGAAAAAAAATTTAGGGTCATTTTTCACATAGTCTTCCTCCCCCCATTTCCACAGTGACACTTTTTAAAAATCCCAATTCCCCTTACAATTTATGCCTTTCTTTCATGTGGGATGATGTTTTATAACAAAATTATTTATTATTACCTTCATATTTATTTCAATTTTTAAAAAAAATTATATTAACATTAACATTGAACATCATTGTAACTAACTAAGCTTTCATGGTAGCTATTTTGATTTTAATTAATTTCAATACATAAAATATCCTAACCATTTTTTTTGGTCACCTTTTCTAGTATTGTAGAAGGATTCTTTATGTCTGTCCTCATTCATTTTTCCTGTTATGGTTGTAACTAGTGTGTATGGTTTTATTCTCATTCTGCATTTTTCACTGTGCATTAAGGGTCTTCATTGATTTCTTTATATTCTTTGTATACTTGTTGGCATCACAGTTATAGTATCCCATTATCTTAAAGAACCACAGTTTATCTCTGCATTTCCCTGATGTTGGATATTTACAATTTTTTGGAAATTATGTGTGATATTTCTGTAAAAATATTAAAACATAGCTTTCTTTTAAAATTTTTAATAAAACTTTCAGGGAATCCCAACAATGAAAGGATTATATGGAAGGGTATGGGTCACTCATTGTCCCTAAGTACTATCAGCAGGACTAAAGCTTTGATTGTGGAGGATGGAGGGAAAAGAGAAAAAGGAGAAGAGGAAAAAAACAAGACAGTAAAAATAGTTGGAGATAGGAATAAACGAAGTAAAAAGAGAAGGATATGTCATAATGAATTGTAAAGTGTCTTTAGTAGTTGACTCCTGTGTTATTCAATAGCTCCTATGCTACTTAGCAGTTACTCTTTTTTCATAGTCTCAGTGAGGTTTAGAAGCTATATTTGATTGATCCACAGGATTCCTATGTGGTAGATAAATAAGACATAAGCAGTTTTTATTTCTGCTTTTTTTGGGGGGGGGTAAGCGATTGGGGTTAAGTGACTTGCCCAAGGTCACACAGCTAGTAAGTGTCAAGAGTCTGAGGCTGGTTTTGAACTCAGGTTCTCCTGACTCCAAGGCCAGAGCTCTATCCACTGCGTCACCTTAATTCTGCTTTTTTTAAGCTGATGATACTAGACTGACTTGTTCAAGGTTTTGATGCATTGGTAAAGCTGTAAAGAGAATCCAGAAGTACTAATATTTTGTTCAATGTTGTCTACTCATTAAACTGCACTAAGTCCCACAGTCATCATAATCCCTTTGTCATTTGTACTTTTTCTGGAATAAAAAAATCGATCAACAGCTCTCTATTACTTATTCCCTATCAAATCTCCAAGCCAAATGTGTTGTGAGGGATCATTGCATGAGCTTTTGGTATCGCCAAAGAAATTAAGTAATTATGCTGATTCTGGTATTTTCTTCCCCAGATATTAATGAGCTAAAGGTATTTGTGGACCTGGCCTCCATCTCAGCGGGAGAGAATGACATGGATGTGGACCGAGTGGCCTGTTTCCATGATGCTGTACAAGGCTACGCCTCAGTATTATATAAGCTTGAGGTTCAGGCAGGCTTTAAGGAGTTCATGGAACAATTGAAGGAACTGTGGAAAGCTCTGGAAAATGACCAGCATCTGCCCAAGAAACTGGTAAGTGTTCATTTTGGCCTCAGAGAAGTATAACCCATTTCTTTTCTGTAATTTTAAAGATTTCCTCTTTTTGGTTCTTGTTTTGGGCTTCTTTGTCAGTGTTCTTAGGGGGGTTTTTATGCATGTTCAGTTCATTTCAGATGACTTATCTGAAGAGTGAATCAGAGTTCTTAATACACTTGGAACTGTGCCACTTGATAGAACAGTGAGAAATGTTTTCCAGCCTGATGAGATATGCAGTGGATGCTGGATGTCTGTTTGGCAGTTGGGAAAACTTAAGAAGAAATATACTTAGTCATTTCCATTTTAGCCATTGAAAGAAGTCCAAATGAAACTCTGACAAAAATATAAGACATCGTAAAACCATTGATTTAATTCTCTCTGTTGTGCCTAGTGACTAAAAAGAGTACCTACTATTTTTGTGTTGTCCTCTCATTTATTGCTCTTCTCCATTATTCCCAAGGCCACCATATACTAATTGGCTTCCAGTTTTACAATTCAGGGCAGCATGGTTGACTTCAGGAGGTGAACTGGGATTGTGTCAGTCCTTGTGTTTGTAGGTTTCTTGGTCAGAAGGTGATCCTGTGGATTTTAGTCCATATTCTCAATTATTTTCCTAACAGCGTGATTCTGCTCGATACCTGGAGTGGCTAAAAACAGTAAAGGATAGTCATGGATCTGTAGAATTGTCATCCTTGTCTTTGGCAACAGCCATCAACAGCAAAGGCATCTACATTATCAAACCTCCCAAAGATGGGCAGAAGGTAAGAGAGCTGAAGTCCTTATCCAATGGGGATAAATGATAACATCCTCAATATAGAGATTTCAAAGGAGGTCATACCTCTTTCTGGATTACAGTTAATACCTTTTCTTTTACCTTAGAAGCACCTATTTGGGCATTTTTGAAGATTGTCTAAGCCAGTCTGTTTTCTTTTTAGTGAATACTGACACTATGCTTTTTTTTGGTAATCATAAACTTATTCCTCAGTTTCTCTTGGATTCTTTGATATTTTTAGCCACCTTTGCCTCATTTCCCGAGCATCTGAGTTGCTTCTTAGATATTCCCACAGGGGTCTGTGTAGTTTAGTGGTACATTACTTCTGATCTCAAAAACTACTAGAAATTCGAATGAGGTTCGCAGTATAAAACTTCCTTGTTTAAGTCCATATTTTAGCTCCCAGTACAGATTTAAACTAGGATAGTCTAGTGGTGTGGATCCAAGTACCTGAAAGAGATATGGGCTGAAGGAACATTTAGACACCAAATGTACATGGCTACCTCCTTTAGAAGATTGAATATACTTTAAGAGGCCAGATATATAGGGTTAGTAGTATGGTGCTTGGGCTTTTATTTTCCTTGAGCTTTGAGGCTGTGCCTCTCAATGAAGCGAGTTCTGTTTTGTAAGGTCACATTGTTTGTATTTTTTTTTGAAAAATATTTTCAAAAGTAATTTTTGTTGAAATTTCTTGTTTTAACATCTCTTTCATTTTCAAATATATCCCTCCACCCCTCTCAGTGAGCCATTCAATGTAACAAGAAATAAAAGAGAGGGAGGAAAAGTAGTTCAGCAAAACAAATCATCATATTAATTGAGTTTGACAGTATATGCAATGTCCCATGCCATAGTCTAACACCTCTACAAAGAAGGGAGAGAAGCTTATTGCTTTTTACCAATCCCTTTTTCTCTACATTGGGCTGCATTTATGATAGCTTATCTTCTCATGATTTCCCCTCAGTGGTTTTTCCCTTGCCTATTAGCAAATTAGCTAGAATTTTTATTTGTCTGTGTAACATTTTGTTGTTTTTGTACACTTATCTTATTCCCCTAATAAAGATTTTAAGTTCCTTCAGGGAAGAGACTGTTTTGTTTTTGTCTTTGTATTTGCTTATGACTTTAATATGGTAAGTATTTAGCAAAGAGGTAGCAAAGTTCTTTGTTAATGAGAAATCAGTGACTTATTTCTCTGGCATTGAATAAATGCCTAAGAAATCAGAAAGTTCTAGGCTGTACTTTTTCAAGTCTTGGTTGAGTAGTAGATAACTTTTCTGCATTAACCATAATGGTTCTGCAGGAAGAACTATATGACCTTAGTGCCTTTTGTAGGTTTCCCTGGACACAGTATTACATTTGAGCCTTCTTGAAAAACATGAAGATCATGAAGAAGTACGCCATTATTCCCTAGAGGAACTGAAGGAACTTCTTAACAAGTTGATGCTGATGTCTGGCAAGAAAGACCAAAATCATATTGAAGTGGATAAATTCTCAGAGGTTAGAATTCTGTATCTGTTATCGGGCCATCACCTGATGTATTATTTATCGTCTTTGCTATGTGGAGGGGTATACATTTTTCAGTTTCATCTCAGGTTGAGTGGTTTGGGAAACTAAAAATAATGATTCATGTTTTTAATTGATATTAAAAGCAACAGAATATGAAGGCTACAAATGGTCAAAGTGGATTAAGCTGGAGTTTGTATCTCCATGGTGTGATGTGTGGTTGGCCCTTTGGTAGGCAGTTTCCTTTTAAGATCTTTTAAGTGAATTTTCCCCTTGTTTTCTCAGGGAATATATCTATATGAGATGGAAATAACACACTAGGAAGTCCCTGATGGGAAGGCTAACTTGTTCTGTTCTCTGCTACATTTACTTTATGATTTGGCAGAGAATTCAGAGTGCCCAAAGATTCAGTTGACCATTATTTATGAAAGCCATTTTCTTATATACTAGTCTTTTGTTTTAATGCAAGTCCATTCTGGGAAGGTGTAAACATTTGACAAATAATATGTTATCTTCCCATCTATTTGCTTGGAAGGGGCTTATTAGACTCATTCTAGTTTTAGCTTTTTTTTTTTTTCAAATTAGATGAGAAAGGTGAGGCCTTTTTTAGGGAAAGAACAAAGCAGCTAAGTTAAGTGGCAAATACAGGAATCTTTCCCTGTTATTTTTAATAACAACAATAATAATATCAGGTTATACTGACTTAATATTCTCCTGTAAAAACTACTTCTTATTTTCATCTTTGCTAGGTATTTTGTAATATCCAGAGACTTGCCCACGCCTTCATAAACCTTTATACTGCTGGAAATGTGCTATTCAGGTCTTGGACAGCTATGGTATATTGCTCCCCCAAGAGTCATATTTCCATACAAATGAACTTCTGCTTGGACACTGTAGGACAGCTACTGGAGATGGGGAAGTGACTGAAGTCCTAGCATCCCTGTGTAAGCAGATGGAACTCTTCCTGGGGAACTGGAAAATATTCATGATTGAGAAGAGGTCTCAGTACTTTTATCTCAACTATTACACTGCTGAACAGTTAGTTTACCTGTGCATAGAGCTCAAGAAACAAAAGCCCAGTGAAGCTGCCTTAGCTATGCTATCCTTCATCAAAAAAAATTGCACCAAATATGATGTCTTAAAAATTTTGAGTACGTCTTATGGAGTACCATCTAGACACCATATGAACCAGGTCAACTTAAATGAATTACAGTTGGTGCTATCCTCTGAGCCAGACCTCATGAGCAAGGTCAAGGTAGTATGGGACTTTTACATGAATTGCATGAGTGCCCTCCTACCTAATTGCTTGAATATTGACTCTCTTGGTCGTTGCTTGGCTCACCTGTCAGACATGGGAGAGGCTCACACTGAGCGGCATCTCCCACAAGGCTTGCAGGTTGGCCAACCTAACCTCATCACCTGCCCTCATTCTGATGTGCTGGCTGTGGCCCTGGCTATCTACATGGAGACTCCCCTCCAGCCCCTGCCCACATATGATGAGGTGCTGCTCTGTACCCCTCTGACAACGTATGAAGAGGTGTCACTGTTCCTGCGCCGTTGCCTTACCGTAGGGTACCATGGGCACAAGGTCTACAGTCTGCTGTATGCGGATGAGCTCAGCTATGAGGTGAGCTGTCAGGTGGAAGAACTGTTTCAGAATTTGTGTGTGCAGTACCACAGGGAAGACTACCAACTGGTGATCGTCTGCAACAGTGATCGGGATCACTGTTATATCCCCTCTGTCTTCAGCCAGTACAAAGTCCTCGTGACGCCTCAGCAGTCTCTCACGGACATTCAGGCATATCTACAAAGTCATTACCAAGTCTCACATCAGACCCATTCAGCAGCTTCGGTGTTTAGGGACCGTGTTTGTGTGAAGGTCGTGACCTCCAAGAGAGCAGGCGTTGGTAATGATTTATAACTTTGATTCATACTTTTTTTTCTGTTGAGAAACTCAAGTATTTGACATATTACCTTGACATATGGTTATATTTATTTTGCTGATGGGGAAACTGAAGTCCAGAAAGCTTTCTAACTCTATGCTACATATCAGTACCAGTGATAGAAGAGTGTCTCCTTCTTCCCACTCATGACTCCCAGTGTTTAGTTATTCCTGTTAGCTCATGTTGCTTACCTCTTCTATATGAGACTTTGCCTTTCAAATAATGTTTTCAGTCTCTTGCTTATATACAGTATGTCATTCTACTTTCTCATTTGTAATCTAAAGAAGACTCTGTAACATTCCCTGGTAACTATCACATGCAGCATGGGGTAGTGGAAAGAACCTTGCACTAAGGAAGAAGACCTGGAAATCTAATCCCTGCTGTCCTGTTTTCTAATTGTGTGACCTTTGTCACTTCAACTTCCTGGGTTAGACCAAATGTTTTCTAAAGTTTCCACAGTTCTGACATTTTAGGGTACTGTTGTTGCCATCTTTTACAAATGTGGACTGTCAGGATCAAAGAAATCTTGACTTTTCAGTTACTACTGTATGCTTTTCTTTTTGCTGGCAGTTTTGATTTTTATAGAAATAGGATTGATACTAAAATATTTGGAGGGAAATAAGTTCCAATTATCTCTAGCTTCATTCCAATAAGAGCAGTATCATGAGCCTTCAATGAATGAAAACTACCTCCACGGAAATACTTCTTTTGCCACAATTGCTTTTTCAGATTTATTTAGATTCTTGTTGAGAAAGTAGTATGGTATACTGTATTTAAGTAAGATATTGAAAACTCTAGGGCTATGAGAAGGCTTTTATCAGCTTTTGGTTTGTTATATATAATACTGTGAAGTTTGTGCATAGACCTTTATCTTTTGGAATTCTGCACACATCTGTTTTCTTTTTTTCATTTTCCAACAAAACAACTAGAGTTCTAATTCATTCTATTTCAATGTCGTAGGAAAATCCCTTTATGTAAAGAGGCTTTATAGCAAACTGAAATATGAAAATTCTGGGGAGGAAGTTCCTCTGAAGACCATTCGATTGATTGAACCCCAGGTGAATGAGAGCAAAGTGCTAGCATCTCTCTTACCTTTCTTGAATGTGAAATACCAGAAAAATCCCATGCTTATCCACCTGGACATCACATCTTCAGTAAGTGCTTTGGCTTTTAATGATTTTAGTGGCTGAGTAGCCAAGATTTTAGAAAGACAAGTATCCCACTAAATAGCTTAGATTTTATTGGTGTTTTTTAATGTGTTTTGATTTGATTTAATTTTCAATTCAAAATTCTTTCACTCTTCCTCTTTCCCCCCACCCATTGAAAAGGCAAGAAAAATCAAACTCATTACAGATATGTATAGTCTGCATTAGCCCTGTCCAGAGAGAGAGAGAGAGAGAGAGAGAGAAGAAAGAAAAAAAGAAAGGA